TAGAAAAGTATTTTATTGCCTTTATAGTTAATTTTTCACACTATGGATATATCTATTTGTTGTATGAAAAATCTCAAGCAGTGGGTACTCTTGAAGTATATATAAATGAGGTTAAAAAACAACTAGATAAAAAAGTGAAAATCATAAGGTCATATAGAGGTGGTGAATATTATGAAAAGTATGATGAAACGAGTCAATACTATAACCGTTTGCTAAACTCCTTGAAATGTATGGCATTTGTGCTCAATACACTTTGTTATACATGCCACAACAGAAGTGTGTAGCTGTAAGGCGTAATCGTACTCTTATGGACTTGGTTAGGAGTATGTTAAGTAATTCCTCGTTACCTATAATGTTGTGGATGTTAAGTAATCTAAAGGGTACAAGTTTTACTATCCTAAACATATTACGATAATTCTTAAAACCGGTAATGTCAGATTTATTGAGAATGGTGAAGTCAGTGGGAGTGATAAAAAAAAGAATGTGATCATTCAAGAAATTATGGTATAAATTTATTTATCCATAACTTATAAGGAAATAATTGTTCCTTCAGTTGTTGAACCGTATAACAATGAAAAACAATTGAATGATCAACAACTCCATAATAAGATTATTACCAATAAATAGATTGTAGATGAATTATAAGGAATAACATTAAGACGATCTCAAAGAGAAAGGAGATCTGCTATTCTGGATGGCTTTGTGATATATCTATAAGAATCTGATTTTGATATATAGTGAGATATATATATATATTTGGTTACATATTCACAAGCCATTAACAGTACTGATTTTACTAAATAAATTAGTGTCATGAATGAAGAGATTATAAAGAAACATTTTCTCCAGTATCTAAGAAGGAATCTTTTAAAATATCATGGCATTAGTAGCTTATTATAATTTAGAGTTACATCAAATAGATGTGAATACAACTTTTATGAATGGGAGTTTATAAGAGGAAGTACATATGGAACAACCTAAAGGCTTCACATTAAAGGATAAATAATTCATGGTCTGTAAACTTAAGATGTCAATATATGGATTTAAATAAGCTTCCTAACAATGGTATATTAAGTTTAATGACACCATTATTTCTTTTGGTTTTAAGAAAAACATCGTTGATCAATGTATATACTAGAAGGTTTGTAGGAGTTAGTTTATATTTCTGATTCTATATATTGATGATATTTTATTTGCTAGTAGTGATGTTAGTTTATTATATGAAACTAAAAGTTATCTCTAAGAACTTTGAAATTAAAGATATAGATGAGGCATCCTACGTGATAGAAATAGAAATATTTCAAGATAGATTACGTGAATTTTTAGGATTATCTCAGAAAGTATATATTGAAAGAATTCTAGAAAGATTTGGTATAGAACATTATTCAACCAGTATTGTACCATACATAAAAAGGGATCAATTCAGCCTAATGTTATCCCAAAGAATGAGTTAGGTAGAAGGTAAAGAAACGAAAAATATTATTTATGCATATATTGTGGAGTTTGATGTATATACTAATTGGTATAGGATAAAAAATTATATGCTCACACTTATAAAGACATTTTTTAATTGGTTATTTGGTCCTTTTGACTGAAGGAACAATATTATGAAAAAGTGCAAAATAATTTTTTATTACTTTGTCTATTATGATTTTTTTTTTTTTTTTAATTTGTAACATATTTTGAGTTTACAATTTATGATTGCAAAATTTATTTCAGGACTTGGAGTTATGGGTACCATTTTCAGATTGTTGAAAATTTATGCTGCAATTTTTGATCTTCTTATATGAAAAATGATAGGTATTCTAAAGTTGAAATACTTTATCATTAAAGAAAATATTTAGAAACAACGAAAATCTATTAAACATATAAGCACACAACTTATGAGTGCAATCTATTAACGAATGAACTACCACTTAAGACATTTATGGAATATGTTGAAAGAATGGGTCTTGAGTTTAGTCAACAATGATTATTTTTAATTATGGATTGGACAATGATTATTTTTAATTATGGATTGCTTAACGGTGCTTATATATATATATATATATATATATATATATATATATGACATTTTGCGCTCATTAAATGTGTTTCTGATATTTCCTATCTATTAATGTACATGTACGTATTGCTTTAATAGGTGTAATAGGAATAATTTTTGAAAAGACATTACTGTTAGATCATTATTGATACTTCTTATTTATAGGCTATGTAGAATGAGTTACTAGTGTTGTGGTACATGGAAGGGACTGTATCATTTAGTGATATATAACTGCCATGACTCGCATTGGTAATTTATTTACTTTGGTATTTATAATGACCAACTTAAGGACTCAATCTGATTTAAGATGCACACTAATGACTATTTTACTAAACCACTACAGAAGTTATCATATGAGTCAAGTGGGAGAATGTAAGATTATTTATTAATTGTGTGGCCCACATGATTTGGACATGTGATATATTTCATTAATTAGTGGTTAAGTAAATAGATATCAGCTTAAAATTATTTTATTTGGTCAACTTATAAACTACATTTATGGTCATTAATTATTGGAGAAGTGTTTTCTTATTTTATTCCTTATTTTGATGAAAAGTGGAATTAAGGTTACTAAAAAGGAAAACTGGTCTTCTCTCTACCTTTATAAAAGTGCATATATCACATCAATTATGTACGCTAATGAAAACAACACGTATAATGTTTATGTCTACAAAAGGCCGAGAGAGAGAAATCGGTTTCCACGCTTTAACTATTGCAGTTTAGCATGTTGTTCATTCTGCAAAAAGATATCACGTTTGCCTTGATCTTTTCGAGTTTTATAATTATAGATTGAGGTATTTATATCTAACTATTTATTTATACATTATAGATATGTGAAAATCATAAAGTTCTAAGGTATGAGATTTATGTAAATCATGTGATTAATGCTTGACATAAATAAGTTCACATGATAATGCTGACCTCATAATAAGATGTTAATTTAGCGTGTGGAATAGCTATTAGGATAAATTACACTAATTTTTTCTGAAAATTTGGACAAATTACATATGGGTATTTTGATTTTTCTTGAGATTTGGCGTGCTTAGTGACACCCTATTGTTTTCTTTCCAACAGACCCATGGACCAAATTTTGAAAAATAACAAATTTACCCTCCCTTGTATAAAATGCAAATTGATAAATTATTATGGATATAAGGGCATTACTAACTAAGAAATAAAAAAGAAAAAACCAAAGAAGGGTGACACCATTCACACGGGGCCTCTAGGCCGGGAAAACTACAAATTTCAGATATATTTATTATATATAGAATCTTCCTTTTGCGGAGCATCACATTATATTGGCATAGCGATCATGTCTAGGCTGGGGGGCAATTTTTATTTCTGATATAAGCCTTGCAATTTCCTGGTTGACAAAATAAGGCCCACACCATCCATTATGAAGTATTGTTTTTGAGACCGTGACTTTCCTACCAGGATCCTCCTATTTGTTACCATCTATTTTTTATTTATCTGTTTATTTTTATTATTATTATTATTTTTGGATACACTCTATAAGGAGAATACCCCAGGACTATACAAGAGAATAATTGTTAGCAAAAAGAAATCTCTATAATCCATGCTATATGAGAAGATAGATACAGCAGCAAGCACAGGCAATTAGCAAAGACATTGGGTGTAAAAAAAAATTACGTTTTATAGCCATCCACATACAGAGTGCCTTGGGACATAAACTTTGAACTACAGTAGACTGACATCGCGTCCTTTAGATCTGAGACTTGAATGATCCATCGATTCACCCTTGCCCTTGACCTCAGCAGTAGACACCACTGGATGCCATGTATCAAACCATAAAGAAGTCTTTCTTCCATCCCTTATGATATGTATAATGTGGTTCCCAGCAGTGTCTCTCAATCTCATGGTTAATTTGGTTTTTGCTATGCAGGAGTGTAAAATAGCAGGGGAGACTCTGGTGGAAGGCCGCGGCGGCAACGGTGGTGGTGGAGATGGAAGGAGCTTAAGATCCTGTCTATGATACTGTGCCCATGAAAGACAATGAAAGTGTAACTAGAAAAAAAGTTTCAAAACATACTTGTATGCTTGTACCTTATTTTACACTATTGGTGTAATGCCTTGCGACTTTCCAGCGCATACAGTCGTGTGTGTGTGTGTGTGTGTGTGTGTGTGATGGATGGCAAGAAACTCCCCCACTGTTCCTTAAACAGGTCCGTGCCTGCTAATATGAATGTCATCTTGAATAATGTTCTTGGCACCCATCACTTTCAACTTGACCAATATTCTAGTCATAGAGATGAAATTGTGAAGAAATGCTTTAGAATATGAATGTCATCTTGAATAATGTTCTTGGCACCCATCATTTTCAACTTGACCAATATTCTAGTCATAGAGATGAAATTGTGAAGAAATGCTTTAGAATTGAAAGGATTGATTGAACCAAAACTCAATGTATGGAGTGTAAATTTGATAAAGATTCAGACATTGATAATATAATGATAAAACTAAAAAATTAAAAGATAACTCAAAACTACTTTCATAATGTAGGATTTAGAATACAAATGACGGGAAGGTAGACGGTGATATAACAAGTTGAATTGGAACGGGAGAGATAAAATGGAGACAATCCAGTAAGATATTATGTGATAAAAGAGTGGCATATGCTAAAAGGATTGGACCAATTATGTAGTATGGAGTGGAGAGGGTTGGGCCCTAAAAAAGAAGAAAGAACAACCACTCCGTGTAGCAGAAATGAGAATGTTACGATGAATGAGTAGAGTAACAAGAATAGATAAAAGGAAAAAATTAGATGCAATACCCATTGGTGATAAAAGTAGAGAAAGTCTTACATCCAAGACCTAGCAGAGAAAGTCTTACATCCAAGACCTAGCGGCTAGCCAAAAATAATAATATGGGATGAGATCATTAAATATAATTTTTGAAAATTAAATATAGTAAGTAAAATAACAACTAATAGATCAGATTGAAGAAAGAATTTATGTGGCCAATTTCATTCATATTTGAAAAATAACTTCTTTAAATAAAATTATTTAACACTGGGATAAATTTGCCCTTAGACTTAAAAGAAAACGTAATAATCAAGCTGAATGCAATACACACTACTAATCATCATTGAATTGCTATATTTCAGCTTGGTTTGTTCATATACAAGTGACTTTCTGAATAAACTAACTTCTGTATGTTGAGCTTCTATCTCCTGCCTTTTCACTCCTCTGGATGTCCATAATAGGATCATGATCTTTTCAGTGGCTGTAGTGTTGCTTATTTTATTTCCTTTGTATTCTGTTGGCCTTGCTAGGCTTGAACATCAATTCAAAATTAATAATAAAATAAAATAAAATAACAAAAATAATTATAATACTCCAGACATAATTATCTAATCCTATGAATTAAAGAGCTACCATCCACTTATCCCAAAAAAAAAAAAAAAAAAAGAGCTACCATCTAATGCTATGAATTAAAGAGCACTTGCATTCTTCCACACGTTATGTCAACATTCAGAAGCAAATTCAGTAAATTGCTCACTAACAAAGAGAGAACATGAAAAGCCACAACTTGTATTTTGAAACCCATTCAGGTACAATGTTTCATCTTTTATGGAAAAATAACATAAATCCCATACCCCAAATTCATAGGACAATCATCCTACCATGTGGGGTTCCATTTGTCATGCACCTTCATTGGGTATTTCATTAGGTGGCATTTCCAAACTCAAAACATTCATGTCTTGCGAAACAGATGTTCTGTAAGTTACGAAAAACAAGAAGTCAGATGCTAAGAGAATAGGATTATATTTGTTCAACATGTCACGTTGTGTGAAACAAATTTGGAGAGCATGAAGCAATTAAGCTAAATATATTGAATAGTGTGCAATCATTTTTATGACTAAGGTGCTAATGTTTCAACTTTCAAATCTAAGTGTTCCCTTCTCCTTCCGTCATACAACGTTCTCTGAGTGCGATCTGATGGTAGCAAAAAATGGTATTGTTTTCCACATCTAGTTCACTTGCTTATATTTTAACATTTACAAGAGATTTTTTTGGGATGGGCATGATCAATGAGCTGAATTTCTTCTTTAGACTTCAAACTAGAAAAATGATACTGGATTTTCATCTTACAACCAAAATGGGGATGTCCCATATCGCTTGAGGGGGAGAAGTTACTGACACGTGTGTGTGGATGCCTCCTAACTGTGCAGATGCGAAAACTGTGCGCACGACGAGTGTGCAACGCAATCCGTATTTACCCAGCGGGTCGTGATTCTTATAAAATTTTGAAATTTAAGACACCATCTGTCATCTCTATTTTCTCATCTTTCCAAATTCAAACATAGATATGTAGATATACTACATAAATATCCGTTTTTTATGTTATGTTTGGTTGGAAGGAAGGATTGAGGAGGGATGGATGAGGGGGGGATAGATGATGCTTCTTATGTTTGGTTCTAGGGAAGGGAAGAGAGGCAGGAAGCAAAGAGGGATGAAGCATCCCTCCTAGCATGTTGTTTGTTAATCAGTCCAAAATTGGGTGGAAGAGAGGAGGGAAAGAAAGAATAACCAACCCAAAAAAGGTAATACCAATTTTAACCTTTAGTTATTTACTAAATAACTAGTTAAACCCTACGGAAATTCTCCCATACATAATGAGGGTATATTGGTAAAAAAATATAAAAACTCTCCTTCCTTTCCTTTCCTTACATTCTATCCTTTCCATTCAATCAAACAAAAAGTGAGGAAGTCACCTTCCCTTCCTTAGGGATGCCTCATCCATCTCTCATGACTCAAACTTACGCAAGATCTCCCCAAATCCTTCCAGCAGTTGATCCATCAACAAATCTGCTCCTCACACAGTTTGCTTCTTCATGGATTTCCAATCTCATTCCTAGTCACGTCCCTTTTTTGTGTGCTTAAACTTTGGGGTTGTTGAAACGCTTGAACCACATCTATAAATGATTCAACAACCAGTTGATACACTCGCAATGCTAGATGTATAATGAATGTGGAAAAATACAAATTCAAACAATAAAAAATTACCATAATGCACAAGCAATCAGTATGGAATTTATTCACAGGAAAAAAGAAATGAATATGGAATGCCTGAATGCTCCAATATTGTGTGCTTATATTTTTTGAACTTAAGTGTATTTACATAAAGCATTGAGTCTGAAAAACAATAGGGTTTTGAGTAATTCAATTCAAATAGGAACCTCAGAATTAGCATACTCGATCATTGAAAGACAAAAGCAGGCCAATATTATTCGATGGATACCTCAATCGATTGAAGTCTCCTGTCCTTTTAGGAAGAGGACTCTGAATTTTATAACTTTCCAAAACCACTTTAATGTATGTCAAAAAGGATTTAGATGAATCAAACATGAAACCCATATTGGTGAATGCATGAACTTTAGACGGTGAGTGTCAAAATACAAGTTGGAATTGATGTGTATGAAATTCCAGATCTACTTCGATACAGAGTTCTCGGGGAGTTTTGCATGCCCCGACGCAGCGTGAATCCAGGCTCCTATTAAGTGGGATTAAGGGCGATGTATCAGGGGAACCTCCACGCCGACAACCATGCAAAACAGATAATATTGATGGTTTGAAATAGAAAAAGCGGATAGAAATGAGAAAGTCTTCTCTGCTTACCAACTTGCTTGTTTGGATCGTACAGTTGCTAAGGGTTGCAGGTAATCTGTTCCATTTCTTTCTTTCTTATTCTACAATCTTGCAAGGAATTTTGAACAAACAAGCGTATCACCAGTCATTCCCCCGAACAGAAGGATCTTCTTCTCTAAATCATTTGACTTCTGAGTTCTTTGTCCAAACTTCTTAATCTTCTATCCATGCTAGCCGGAAAGCATTCATTATTTAGCACACCAAGCGGGGAAGTTCCTGGGATTACTTGGAGGATTGATTGTTGGAAAGGCAAACAAAGAAAGCAACATGCCCGTCAGATAAAAAGAAAGAATTAACAGCGCAGTGCGTGCATTAGGATGCGGCGTATGAAGTATCTGCTTGAGGAAGAGGAGGTTTTCAAGGCTCTGGGGAGATGTGTGGAGACAAGGCGTCTTTCAATGCCTTTTTAAAAACTTCAAAAATCTATGCAATACTATTTCTGAATCTACCCCTAACACCTCCCACCTGAACATTAGAGGGGCAGACACGAGGCCTATACAAGCCTTACCTAACCTCTTTTCAGGGTAAAATGGCCATAGCAGCAACATCTCCCCGTCACTCAGGCAGAAGGTGAGGACACTTATTCGGATTGGTGAAACCTAGAAGGAGAAAGTCTTTTCACTCATTGTATATGAGACTCCACTTTATCAATTGTTAGAATCCGGGGTACAGTTAGTGAAAGAACCCGGTTTTCTGTCTTCACAAGTTCCAAATATGCCCTTTCACTACCACGCTGACGAGGAAAGCAGAGAAGAACAAGGCGCTAGTTAGCACTCCTGCAAGAAAACAGCCTAGCTAACAAGCAAGAAAAACGACTACGCCACAACGGCTTTCTATAAGCTCAATCCGTTGCTTGTTGCCACTATCCCTGCTCCTTTGAGAATCAATATATAGTCAGTAAGATAATTCATATTGATTATCGCGGGGAGAGAGAGCTGCTCTGCGAAGCTGGGCGTTCAGTCTTCTTATGGAGGAACCCATAGACGAAAGAGAATAGAAAAGGCCTTCAAAAAAGAGCGAGGGAGTGATGAAATAAATGCTCGTGAGCCGCCAAGTACCAGTCTCGCAACAGTATTGGCGCAAAAGGGTGTGAGGTCTGTCTTGAAAGAGCCTCCTGTTCCTACTGCAAGTGCTAGATAATCGGTGACATTAGGATCGGTGACAGAGCTACCAAATAGAAGGAAGAAGCTCCAATTCGTAGAGCAAGGTCTTCTTCTTTGCCCCAGGGAGTCTATTAGGAGATCGAAGAACCTGCAAGGTGGGGCTTTTTCTTATAACTTATAAGGGGAGGTCTGGTCCAGGTTTCAGTCTTTCAATGCCTTTTTAAAAACTTCAAAAATCTATGCAATACTATTTCTTAATCTACCCCTAGCACCTCCCACCTGAACATTAAAGGGGCGGACATGAGGCCTATAAGAGCAACCTTATAGATTTCAACCACAACTGATCGTGATTTTTGTTTACCCGGTTCGTCTCAAATAAATGCTACAACCCTTCCTTAACATTCTGACTTCTGTCCAGAAAAGAAGAGAGCTGGGGATGCCACGATCGGAGAGACAAGGCATATACGTGAGTTCATTCTATAGTTGGAAAGTAGTCAATAAAGACTACTCCATTTCTTGGGTTGTAGCCAGCTTGAACCTGAAGTTTGGCTCTTCTTCTATGAGAATCTCACTATGTCTGATGCTTTTCCTCGCTTGAGTAATGGTGCATACTTGTGAACTTGAGGAGAAAAAGGAATCAAAGAACCGAGCGTTGCATTCTACTTGTTTCTTTAGCAGACATGTCTAAAAGCCCTTGTGATTCCTATATTGCAGTTTTCACTAAATTTCATTAGTGGAGCCTTATTACATAAGCATATTTTTGTATTGGTCTTTTACTGGTAACTGTGGGCTAGATTGTGACTGTTTGATATCTCAAATGTGTGATTTATGGTATGACAAGTCAAGATTTTGGAAAATGTTCGTGAGGTTATTAGACTTAGGTTGCCAAGTTTGAGATCAAAACTTGGAGTCTGTACTTTTTTTATTTATTTGAATGTCAAGTTGTTATGTTGGTTACCTATGCCAACTGAAAAGTTGTTCTAAAAATTAAAAGTTCAAATAAAGATTCTGAGAAAGGGAACAAGAGGTGTACTATATGTTATATGTTGAAATCTTTTTGTGCTCCAACTTTAATGTTTTTCTTTGTTATTCAAAAGCATTATATGTTTACTAATAAGAACCTACTTATCATAATTACGAGGTCTATTGAGTTCTGCTTTTATTTCTCATTCAAAAGCATTTCAGGATTTTCTTGCTTATCATGGTGAATTGTGCTTCTTCTCTGTATGGTTTCTGCCTTCAAGCACTACTCTCCATTTAGTTTGTTATTGAATATGTATATATAATGATAATGTTGATGATGAAGAAGAATATGCAGAAGTAAATTTTTTTTTTCTTTAGGCATTATATAGCTGACAAAATTTTAAAAGACAATCCTTGTAATAAGAATCTAAGAAAGTCAATTAGGAGAAGAAAGTGAAAAACACAAATAAAAAAGGAAGCTATATTATCGAACATAAGATCGAATCAAAGATGGCAGTAGAAGGGATTAATTTATAATAAAAGCACGGAAATCCAAGCTACTTACAGCTGAGTTGATCTACACTGGATCTTGCCCAAATGGTTTAGGGAGACCAGGAGACGAAAACAAGTAAAGCCTGGATAATATCGCCCTGTTACTATTACACCATCCCTTGGTTTGCACACCTCTTCCAACGTTTGCCTTTTAAGATCATAACTCAGGATCCTAAGCGGAATGCTCAAGAAGATAACATCAGAAGTCGGATGAAAAGCAAAGGGTTGAAACCACAAAAACTGAGAACGAGAAAGCCCTTTAGAAAGCACCAAATCATTTATTAAACTAGCCATGTCGATCCTATACTTCAAAGCCCATTCCATGGCCTTACAGTCTCCTTCAAGTGACCAAATGAACAACATGGTGGGGGTTTTCCTCGCATAACATAGCCGGCCCATCAACACCCCAATACATCCAATTAGATTTCGATTTGCACTTTCTGTCAATGGGAGCTCAACGGCATGAACACCGACTTCATTGAGATCAAACCTCAAAAGGTGCTTAGACAAAGATAACTGGTACAGTGCACCGTGAAAGTAAACAGCATGCCTTACCCAGGAGCGCCCATTAATGCAGGAATCAATTTGTACCCGGTGTCTAACCCATTGTTCAGTATTAGAACAGTATACGTCCAACACAAGCTTATTTTTCATTTTGCATCTTGCAATGCGTACAACTCTGTAGCAAAGGGACTCAGAGGGGTTAAAAGCCAATGCTGCATAGCAATGACGCTGCTGGTGGCGGCGGGCTTTGGGAATCGGCACATATTGCTTCATCACAGGGTTGCACACATAGTACCGTAAATCAAAGGAATTGAAGAACAAAAACAAGCCATTGCAACTATCAAGAAAGTCATTTGCATTAGTCTTTTGGAACGATAAGTTGGCCAAATATTCAGAATCAACAAATCCTCCTCCACCACCACCATCAATGCCACTGTTGTCTTCTACAGAAACATAGTCAATGAGCTCTTCGTTGTCAAAGCGCCCCAAATGCTTTAAAAATGCATCCCGTACTGGGCGACTGGCGTCTGTGGTTATAAGGGGCATATGAGGTGGGAGAGCATAACTACGGAAGAAAAGGCCACAGAGAGGAAGAGACACTCTGGGCAAGCAAAACACAGAGATTAGATAATCCCATGATTTGCATACACATTTGAACCTAGTCAGAGGCTTTTCCGGCAATCAACACAGTATCTCAACCAACACATCATCGGGAAAGAAGCCCATTATTATTCGAATAAGGAACACAAAGGCGATTCTTTTTTATTCCGGTGAACATTCCCGGACCTACATTCAATGCTTTAGGAAAACGGTGTGCTTCAGGGCGAGCAATAGGTTTGAAGACAGGCCGCAGTAGTTTCAATGCACCAAAGGGATGGGATGGATCGGAATGAGGGGCTACCCCTTACTAACTATAAATCTTACCGGAGACAGATCTAACTAGTCTCTGCGAGTGGAGGAAGTTTCCGTTTTTCTTATGAAGCAGAAACCCTCGTAATCGAAGAAGGGGTCATGGGGTATATGTAGGTAAACCAAGACCGTGCCAGACCTTAATGCCTATTCCTTACGTGCAAGGTTGAGACAATGAAGTATCATCACATATGCACATAAATACCTTCGAATCTGAAGATCGTTCAAAACTGTCTTCAATTGGAGTCCTTGCATGAATTAGGGTTTCGAACCTTAGGGACTTCAGTGTAAATAAGACGGAGAGTTTCGGCTAGATTTCTCAGTGTTCTTTCATTGACTATACGCGTAGATATATATAGCAGGGTAAAGTGCAAAAAAACCCCTGAACTATGGGAGAAATATGCAACTAACCCTTTTAACTGTCAAAAATACAAGAAACCCTCTGAATTATGAAAAAAGTTACAGATTACCCCATCCGGCCAAGATCCGATGAAAATTAACTGTTAAAATTTGCTGAATTATTTTAAAAGACTATACTGCCCTTAGAAGCATGAAAGGACAAAAGTGCCCTTAATTTTCAATCTTTAGACCCCAATATCCCAATCCTTATAATGAGTAACAAAGTCAAATATGGCTTTTACCAAATTTCCCAAATCATGAAATCTGCAACTCTGGTAAGGGTTTTTGTCGGGGTTCTTGTAGCTCAATGAACTGTTAATCATGGTGAATGAACATTTGTTTTGGGAGTTTAAAAATAATCCATCACTCATTGCTTGTGATTCTATACATACATCCCAAACTCAAATCCTTCATTTAATTTCTTAATAAAAGTTGAATACACAATTGATTTAATTGCCAAGAACTAATTAATTGTTGCATTCAGATTCAGAAGTTGTATGGAGAATATGTTACACTTTTCATGCTTGCTTGTGTACTAACATTAAGGCTATGTTTGGTAGGATGGGTTTGAAGGGGGAGGATAACATTAGTTATAAGGGAAAGGGAAGGAAAGGGAAGGGAAGGATAAGTTTAATCCTCAATCGTGTTTGGTTGATTAATGAAGGAAAAGAAAGGGAAGGATAACAATCATGTTTGGGAAAAGAAAGGAAAGGAAAGGATAATAAAAAATTTACTATTATGCCCTTTATATATTTTAACAGATAAATTTTTAGATTTAAATATGCAACAATATTTTTGCCCCAAGATTCGGTTCTAAGGCTCAGTTTGGTAGCAAATGCCACATTCATCTTCTCTTTCCAAATCAATATTTCAAAACTCAACAGCACTTAACTAATTTATGCAGTGGTATTGAGGCTAAGCAGCCCAACTCTGCCATGAGAAAATCTACTCGTGTGCAGCTGATTAAGAATGGGAAGAAGATCGCTGCATTTGTACCCAATGATGGTTGCTTAAACTATATTGAGGAGAATGTAAAAGTCTTCAACAAAACTAGTGTAGATCTTCTTTAATTGCTTACTTTGTGTTGTAGGACACAAAGCAAGCTAAATCTTATAAAAGGAGCCGGCTCAAGTAAAAGTGGAGGAGGCTCCAATATGAATGGAGCAGGCTCTACTTTAAGTAGAGGAGGCTCCAATATGAGTAGAGCAGGCTCCCAAAATGGGAGGCGGCTCCTTTCACGAAAAATTGTTCTGGTAACCAATTTTATGTCATGTTAGGTGGCAGAAGTAAAACAAAGAAAAAGAAATGCAATTTACCCAAAAATAAAAAATAAATAAATAAAATGTAACTCACTTTTATTCCTAAAATGAAGTTGAAATAACATTCATACTCAAGAGCACAAATGAATTTCCTATTAAAAGTTTGATTTCCTTCAACAAAAAAGATGATAAAATCAATAAAACAATAATAAAGTCAATGAAATAATCATATTGGTAAGTACTGAAACAATCAACAGATCGCATAGAAAACCTAATTACTAGATCTTCCTTCAAGCAAGTAACAACAGAGAAAAGTAAAAAAATGATCATTAATTTAATCTTTAAATTTGGCTTCTTACTTTTTTGGGTGAGAGGGGTTTGATCACAAATGTAATCAATGATGATCAACAACATAAAACAGTAAGTTAGGTTCTTTCTGACTTTATTTAAAAAAAAAAAAAAAAACTTAACAACCCAAGGCATGAAGTGGATCGAACATACAGATCCACCAATTTCTTGCAAATAATGACCCCAAATTAGGAAGTGCCGAGATATAATGGGAATAGGACACTTGAAGGGAGCCGGCTCAACCATGATCATGGAGCCGGCTCTTATGGGTTTTTGAGAGGTGCCGAGTGGAGCCGGCTCTTCCTTTTTGTAGAGCCGGCTCCACATTTTTTTTGGAGCCGCCTCAAGTAATTGCTGGAGCCGGCTCTCTTGGGCAATTGAGAAATCCCGAGAGTTGGTGTATGCAGGCCAATAATACAGGCCCTAATATGAAGAGCAAATTTGAGGGTAAAATTGGCTTAACATATATTTTGTATGCCATTGCCTGCCATTGCCTTCCCTTTCCTTCCTTATCCTCCCAATTTTGGAAGGTTAAAAAATTACTGTACGTTGCTTATAAATAACCCTCCAAACCCCTCCCTCTCCTTCCCTTTCCCTCCACTAACTTTACCCAAACACAATTTTTTTATTACCCTCCATCCCCTTCCCTTCCCTTTCCCTTCAAACCCATCCAACCAAACTGACCCTAAGAGCTGAGGCGTGGACAAACTTTTCAAGCCGCCGTTACGAAGAGGAGAAGAACCGACGGGAGCAATCTCTTCACGGCATTGTAGAAGGCAATGGGATCAGCGGCGGTGGGCGCCAGAGATCTACCGCAAAGGACGGTGAGGAGGATCTTGGATCTATGAGCAGGGTCAGTGCGTTGGGTATATGGCGGTGATGGTTAACAACGAGTTACTGTGGATGACGCAATGGTTGACGCGTGCAAACGTGTCAGGCGACGGTGATGATGAATTGTGGAAGACGCCGGTGAGTTTGGTTCAATTTTTCGGCAAAAATGAACTTACCAGCGTGTACAAATTTTCCGGTGGTGATGATAGTGAGATAACGAGCCGGCGATGGTGAGCTTTTTAAGAAATGGGTCTTCACCAGCAAGCACCAATGACAATGAGCGCCTGGTGTGTACAGAGAGGTGATTGGTGGAGAGGTTGAGAACGGCGAGGACAGACTGAACGACGGGCAACAAGAAGGAACGGTCGGTGGTGACGACGAATTGCACGATTGGCAGATGGTTGGTTTATCCACGCCTGAGACTTCTCTCGATAGTCCATGGCCAAATTCATCGACTCCTTACCATCGATGTCTATAATTTGGGGAAAGAAAGATGATGCGGAAGGGTTCAAGGTTTGATTATATAAAACTGCGTCATTTTATTGGAAGGGCAACTTCATTTTTTCAGGAGGGTTTTTTGCCCTTTACCCTATATATTATATATGTGCGTAATATATAGAGTAATGATATTTAAAATGATTAAAATCTATTTGTAGCAGAAGAATCTATCCTAGGATTTTTATTGTAAATGGGTCAGCTCAAGTGTGGGTCAGTTCAACGATAGTTATGTTTTATTGCTTGGGCCTTGGCCCAAATCGATATCGATATATAGTGTGGACCTCTAGTCCCAACTCGGTTGCAACTTGCAACATTGTCTCTTTGTATGTATATGCAATAGCTGCATCATTGTTCCAGTGTTCCTATTTACTATTTACTATATATATATACATAATACTTTCTTTTTTTTGTTAAGAAAAACCCATCAACTATCCAAAAGGGGTGATTTAACTGACGAAAAGTTAGTTAAGAGGGAGCTATTTGGACATTGAGTTTTTTTTTGTATATATATTTTTGAGACAAAAATGCCATGTACCTATTTTAATATACCCCACATATATATCTACTCCATTATCACTCTTAGGCGCTGTAGACACTAAAATTTTAGTGGGCTTTGATTTTAACAAATGGATCCATTAAATATGGGCTTAATGTTTAATTAAGTTATTTAATTGGCCCAAATTTGGCCCACTTAAATTATTTAATTGGCCCACCCTAGATGGTTAAATATAAAGGTCATTATTCCTAATAAAATATATTTGGAATAATTATTTTTAAGGATAATTATCATAATATAACCGGCCCGGCCCAGTTATGATATTTTTCTTATCAGAGAGGATACGTGTCATCATCCTATAAATCCAAGAAGCCTATAAATAGAGGCTTGAAGGAAGGAGGAAGGGACACAAATTTTGAATTCAGAAATCTAGAATTCCAGAGAAATACAGAAGCTCTCATCCCTAACATCCAAATCCAAAGGCGAAGAACACCAGGCACATCAAATCGTGCCGGTCTTCATCAAATTCCATGATGATCAACAACAAGCACATCAAATCGTGCTGTTCCTCATCCAAATTCCACGGCGATCCAAGAACAAACTCGTGCAGCCCTTGGATCCAACCAACAACAAAAAGGAGATCGAATCAGAGGACCATTCTTTTTGTAAAGAATATTACAAAGGGTTGTACTCCATCATCATAAATTAATAAAATTATTATTTTGCCCATATTTTGTTTCTATTTGCAGGATTACAAAATTTGTGTGTACAAATTTCTGGCACGTCCGGTAGGACATCCTTTGCCTCTTATCTCTTTCTCCTATCATTAAGTTTATTTTCTATCAGATTCTATGGCTCCCCCTAAGACTCAGACAGACAAAAAAGCCCAAAAAAATATCACTACTACAAAGGTCGACGCCAAAGCCACCATGAAAAGTGGCACGAAAGCCAAATCAAGTAATGGAAGTACCTTGGCGGGCCTTATGACACGTAGTAAGTCCCAGGCAATCACGTCCTCCAAACATCAACAAAACTCGGTGAAAACCGATCCTACAAAGCCGGTGAATGTGAAAACTCAACATGTCAAGAACCCTGACGTTGTTCCGGAGGAGATTCCGCCACCAGATTTACCTCATTCCGTCGATGATGCTCACTCTAGTGTCGGTTCACCCTCAGAATCACTACGTCAAACTTCAGAGTAATCAATCACTTCAAGGAACGTTGACTCTCAAGGCCTATCGTACTCTGATGTGGTCACTGCTATGATGACTGGAGCTGCCATGATGGAGGAATAACTAGCAACTATGGCTCGTGCCATTGAGAACCTTACAAAGACTGTTGAAGAGAATGACTTGCAAATCGCTACACTGATGAACGAATTGGAAGTTCAGATCTTCAGTGAATCACCAATGCCATCTGGGAATTGTGTAAATTCCACACCACCACCGTCTGGGAATCCTACATCTTCCACAGCAATGCCGA